GATGTACATTCAGCAGGACACGCTTCGCCGTGCGACTGAAGCGCGAGTAGCTGCGGAGCAGTCTCGCAAGGAGCTCCAGACCGAGCTGATTAGACTTCGCGATAGATTCACCAAAGTGGAGAGTGCCCGCTTGAACGCGGAGGCTGAGATCGAGCGAAATGTGAAGAAGCAGGCCAACGAGCGTCTGGATAGCGTCCGAAAAGATCTAGAGGAAAAGGCGCGTCAACTCGAGGATGTTGAGGAAGAGCGATCTCGTCTCTCAGTGAGAGTGCAAGAACTTACCAATGCAATTGCAGAGTCTGAAAACTTCCGCATTCGCCATGACCAGCACAAAGAACGCCTCGAACGAGAGCTGGTTACGCTTAAAGGCAGGCTCACAGCCTCCGAAAACGACAATCGCGCTCTTTTGACCAAGATCCAACAGAAAAATCTGGACATTGCCAGGTCCAGCTCGAAGGCCAGCGAGAGCCAGCGTCTTCGCATAACGAACCTGCAGAGGGAAAAGGCCAAGTTGGAAGAAGACAACAGAAAACTGACTAGACAACTCGGAGACCTGCAACTTTCCATTACGTCTTTGGAGAAGCAGAAAGAAAAGCTGTCACTGAGTCTGGAGGATCTGAACCATGAGGTTAAGAGGGAACATAAGGCCAGTCGCAATGCTGAGAAGGCCGCCTCAACTGCCGGTATACAACTTGCCGAAGCAAACAGGAACCTGGAAACAGAGAGACAGTTGCGAACTCAGGCTCAGGCAAACACACGAAAGCTTCAGGGATCTCTCGACACTGCCCACAAGGAAATCGAGACCTTGCACCGCCAGCTGATGCTTCTACACAAGTTTGTGGAGCCTCTGTCAGACAAGCCGCCGGAATCATGGGAGTCCATTCAGCCAGATCTGGCTGAGAAAGTAAATCTAGCCCAACTGCTGGATACCGTTCAAAGCAAACTTCAAGTGACGGAGGAGAAGTATAATCGAGCAGAGAGCCAACTTGCAGAAATGCGGCGTCGACACGAGGACGAGATGAAGGAGCTGGACGCCCGTTACTCTTCATCCAAGCGTGCATTGCTTGAAGAGATTGACCAGAATCAGGTAGCCGGTAATCGTACCCCGACACATCTGAGAAAGAATTCAGAAAACGGTCTCGTCAAGAAATTCGCTACCCCAACGACACCTAACCGGAGATTGAATCTCAACGAAGCTACAATGGATTCTGGTCGGTCAGATCGCACAGTGGACACTATCGGCTACCAGAAACGCATGGATCTCGCTACTGAAATCGAAGAGCTTCAGAACAAACTCCAGATGAGCGAGATGCAGAACCGTCATCTCCAGAATCAACTTGAAGAACTCAAACCTGTCCGAGACCTATGGCAGGATGAGAGCCCGTCTCTCAGACGTATGCAGCTTTTGGAGCGCGAAAATGGCCGCCTTCATGACCAACTAGACGATTCCGCCAAGAAAGTTTCCGCCCTGGAGAGAAGCATCCGTTCCGGAGAGCTATCGCTGCGCGACGTTCAGGCGAAATCGCATGAGGAGCTCTACGATCTGATCAATTCTCAGGAACAGTCTCGAAGATCCTTGCTCAAAGTCCATAATGAGGCCATGGCTGATTTCACCGAGGCCAAAGCGCAATTTGAGAAGCTCAAACGAGCAAAAGCTACTCTTGAGGTGGAACTTCGAGACGCACTCTCCGAAGCGCAAGAGTTGCAGGTTGCCAGGGAGCAGGATGCCGTCAGCAGGAATCAGCTTCTCGAGGAGTTCTCCGACTTGCAGATACGGCTGGATGCGGAAACATCCAGGTCCGCTGATCTCGCCTCCAGCTTGAGTTTGTATAAGAGTCGGGCGGATGACTATTTCAACAAGCTCGAACAAGCAGAAATCGCCGTCCTCAAAGCCACTCGCGCGGAGCAGTTTGCCAAGTCACAAGCCCAAGAGGCAGAGGAGACCTGTGCGCAAATTATGGCTGAGCGCAAACAGATGGATGCTCTTGTGGAAGACCTGCAAAGACAGACCCAGATGCTAGAGGCTAGGATGGAGGATCAAGCAGCCGAGCTACAAGGAGCGCTTCAAGCAAAACAGCGCTTGCAAAATGAACTTGAAGATTATAGGAATCAGCGTGCGATCGACATCGAAGATAAAGAAACTTCAATGGAGCAGACAAGGCTGAAGTACCAAAGGGAATTCTCTACGCTCAACAATGAGCTCGAGATGGAACGAGAGAAGGTGCTCAATGTTCGTAGCGAGAACGCTCGTCTTCGGGAGGAACTAGAGGACCTCCGTAGCAAGTGGGATAATGAAGTCCTGAACAGTTCCACTTGGGCTAAAGAAAAAGCTCGGATGGAGATCACATTACAGGATGTCACTACGTCTCGCGATGAGGCTGTCAACGCCCATAATGAAGCCCAAGGCAGAGTTGTGTCCCTTCTTTCACAGGTCCGAAGTCTGCGAACCTCGTTTGACGACATCACGGCAGAGCGTGACACATTGTTCAAGGAGAAGAAGATGCTTGAAGCCCGGCTGGCTGAGGCTGCCGAGAGACTGGAGGAACTCGCCAAGGGCGAAAGTCCGTCTATGCGCAACGCCGCCAGTATGGACCGCGAGCTCCTAGAGCTGAAGTCAAAACTCGCTCAACAAGAAGATGTCTCAGCTGCGGCTGTTGGCAAGATGAGGCGAGCCGAAGCACTAGTGACTGAAATGCAGAAGGAAGTCACTGCTGAAAGGGAGGCAAATGCTCAGCTCTTCAAGGATAAGGCTGCGCTAGAGAAACAACTCAAGGAGTCGCAGTTGCGATGTGTCGATTTAGAGACCAAGAGCTACTCGACAGGCAGTCAGGATGTTCGATTCCTCCACAAGAGGATCAAAGAGGTAGGTTTTAGGCACACGGAAATGCTTCGTCCAAGATACTGACGAGTCACATCAAACAGTTGGAGACTCATCTCGAAGAGCAAGAGAACAAGCACAGCTCGGAACAACGGTCACTGCGCAATGTCGACCGTACAGTCAAGGATCTTCAGTCACAGTTGGAGCGGCGCGACAAGTTGAACGCGCAACTGGAGGAAGATGTCAACAAGGGTCGTGAGAAGATCGAGCGTCTGCTTCGCAACATTGAGGAGCTTCAGCAAAGTGACTCGGAGGCGCAGCTCCAGATCCGCCGAGTTGAAAGGGAGCTACGTGAAGCACGTGAAAAGGCATTAAGAGTAGAGCGTGAATTGGATGGGTTGAAAACCCTGCGTGCCGAACGAGGGAGTACGATTGGGAGGCCGCATGTGACCTTCAGCGATGTTGGAAGCAGAAGGGGTAGCAGCGTCTACGGGGCGAGTGACTTGCCGCAGAGAATGCCGAGCAACACGAAAGGTTTCCTCTGAAGAGGATTATGATACAGAAGGTTGCTCCTGCTACAGCTTGCTGAGAGGAGACCCATGCAACGACACTTATGAATGAGTCCGGTGTGTTGACCGGACCTGGAGATGACCTACTGATAGATTTCTCTCCTTGATTTGTATATGTTTTTCTTGCCTCATGCGTCTCATGATTTACATGCTGCGTTTGCTGATTGTGCTGATCATTACCTCTTGGTTAAGGGCGGCTGTCTGCATTTAGTCTGTTCCATCACTTTTGGGGCCATCAATCTTGATTTAATAGTAACTTTACGGAGAGTTGTACCTTTCTGAGTGGCGTTTCTTGAAAACGACTTCAATAATACCACGATGGATTGTCTTAGATTCTCTTTCTGAATGGTTGTCTCCTAAATAGCCGCGCGCCTATAATTAACGCTCGCTTAGCTGAGCGGCATCTCCACTCCCCACTCAAGCTTGTCAAGTCTAATCAGAGTACTTTTGTTGGGCTCTCATCCCCCCATCTTCCTTTTGACACTGCATCTCAATTGAACTCGTTCTCGTCCAGTGCATCATCATGGTGAGTCCTTCACAAATTCTGTGGGCGCGAATAAGTGACGGACCATCCTGTCTCCAAACTGCACAGTCAACACGCTAACCACACGTCTTCCCTAACAGGCACGTAACAGCGAGAAAGCACAGTCGATGCTCTTCCGCTTCCGGGCGCAACAAGCCGCGGATCTCGGAATCATCGATATTGGACGGACGCGTCGGCCCAAAGCCATCGCCTCCGTGGACTCGATTCCCAGCTGCGAGAAATGGCGAGGCCAAGTCCTCAAAGAAATCTCGCGCAAGGTGTCCCGCATCCAAGAGTCCAGTCTATCCGACTACCAGATCCGCGACCTGAACGATGAAATCAACAAGCTGATGCGCGAGAAATGGGCGTGGGAAATGCAGATTCGGAACCTGGGTGGACCGAACTATATGCGTGGCTCGGGGCGTGTGTATGATGATGAGGGGCGAGAGATCCCCGGTGGTGGGAAGGGATATCGATACTTTGGGCGGGCGAGGGAGTTACCTGGTGTCAAAGAGATGTTTGAGGCAGCGGCGCGACGGGGGAGAAGGCCGCCCGAGGAAGAGGAGGAAGGAAAAGGGCGGGGTGGGGACATTGCTACGAAGAAGGTTGATGCGAATTACTTCGGGTATGGGCTGGATGAAGAGGATGGATCGTTGCTTGCGTATGAGAGGCAGAAGGAGAAGGAGGCTGTTGAGCACCTACGAGGGAAGAAGGACAGTGATGCGGAGGATGGGTGGGAGCCGCTTCCCGGCGACGCTGGCGATGGGGTTGAATGGAGGTTGCCGACGCTGGAAGAAGTGCAAGAGGAGCTTGTGGACCGGAGGCGACGACGACTGCTGGACAAAATTTCTTAGGCCGATTGGGGTTTCCGGGTTGCTGTGCTCGGCATTTTCTTGTTGTTTTTCTCTCCCCACAGGCGTTGTCATACTTCCTATTTGTTGTCTGTCCTCTTTTTCATTCTATATCATGTTCTTATTTATGCTGGGTCCATAACATTATGCATTTTGAGGGGCGCGCAAAAGAAGCTCACTAATGATACCAACACAGAGGTATATGTTCTAATGTACAATTGATTATATCATTCGTTGATTTAAGAAGCAGAGGCAGGCTGCTTTCTCGCCATTCGCTCAGCCTTCAAGGCCTGAGATATACTGATACCCACGTGGTTCTCAATTCCTTCTTCGATGCGGCGCTGCTCTGCCTGTAAATCGTCAAGTATGAAACGTCCTAGCTCGCCAGATCGCCACTTTTGAATGAAATGAAGTGCGGCAAGGTCAATGTTAGGTATCCCTCCTTTAGCAAGGAGACCAGTTTGCCGAGCAAAGCTGTCCAGGAGAGGCGAGATCTCGTTTGTGGGTTGAGACCAGCGCTGGTACTGCCCCGGGTTATGCAGATTGATATGATATAAAAGATAGTCCGCCAATGTGACTGGTGAAATAACTGAATCTTTCACACAGCCACAGAGAGCTAATTTCAGCATTTTCTCGGCATCCGGCACATAGGGCATGAAAACCCCCGGAGTGTCCAAAACGTAAACATGTGCTCCATTGTCCCGCTCAATGATCTTGACGGGTGTCCCGATCTTCCGTGTAATACCAGGCTGGCCTCCCGTCTGCACGGCCTTGGCCTTTCTTACGCCTTGGTTGCGCAGATTGTTGATCAGGGTGGACTTGCCGACATTCGGCATTCCAACAACCATCACGCGACAGCCGACGAGCTTATCAGGCCCTTCAGCATCATTTCGCAAATGTGCCAGAATCGAACTGACATCCGCTCGGGAGGAGGAGCTGACGAAAAACACGGCACTACTCGAATCAAACTTCTTGATTGTCTTTTCGGCCTGCATACGGAAACACCCGTCAGTTATTATGTCAACCATGAGCTAAGCTTTGGTTCTGAACTTACCACTTGCTGTGCAGATGATCGAGGCTCTGCACCCAGGTCCCTCTTGGTGTAAACTACTAACCGCCTTGTCTTTCCCAAAGCCTCTTCAAACATGGGGTTAATAGACGTTACCGGTACTCTGTAGTCACGGCACTCGATAACATAGTCAATAGAAGATAGCATGTTCTGCATCTTCTTCAATCCGGCTCTGTGATGGCCAAGATAATATGATCTTGGAATGGAGGCATAGCTGGGAAATGCCTGCCGCGGAATGAATTTGGCTGCCATCGCAAATAGACCACTCAACTGGAGATCTGCAAACGTGGTCTGTAAAGATGATGGTGCAATAATGTCTCGGACATTATCGAGACGAGAGGTGACCGAAGTGTAAGAAGGAATGCATTGCTGTCCCCCGTTGACATGCTGAGATGATCCTCATTTCTTTGCGCTTTTTTCGGCTTGACAGAAGTAGTCAAAAGCGGTGAAAGAGGCGGTGGCATGTTATCCCGGAGACGATAAGAGAGATAAGAAGCGGGACAGTTGCCTTATCCGGACCGACGCTCTCTCTTCCGCGAACACCAAAGACATCAAGGACATCAGGATCAATTCGAAATTTTCAAGGATTCACAATCTGTCAACGTCCTGGCTGTTGGCTGTGAGACAATCCGACATGGAATGTTCGGAGACGCCAGCGACGCAGAGTAAAAGCGGCGACAGGTAGGCCACGAGAATCTCGCAGACCTGGCCAGACGAATATTTATTCTATACTACCTTCGCTATAGCACTGGAGGATAGAAATCCGAACGGGCTCTGAAGATGCCAATTGAGCGGACAATGACTAGGCTGAGTTTGAGTTTCCGACCTCCATCGACGAAAGTGCTACGGCGCAGAATACAAAGTACTGCCATTCTTTGAATTTATTAACTTGATGATCTATATGGAAGTAGAGGAAGAATCAGTATAGAATAAATAGATCTTCTATACAGGGTATCATTCAGCAGATTCTCGTGCCATCCATCCGTAACTCCTGAGTACACCAATCATGTCACGCCAACATGAGAAATGGAAATCACGTTCTGATGTTAGTCCAAGTCAATCTAAACGCACCTCTACGCTCTCCAGCCCTGTACGAATTCATGTAGCCGATCGATGACCACTCCGAATATGGCATTCACGCTGTCACCGATGAGTTGCTCGAAATGACGGATGGCCTCCTCTTCTGTCATCTCGAGGTGGAACCTTTCCTTGACTTTAAATACAGCCTTGTCCGGTTCCACACGGATGTCAGGGATGTTGGCGTCGACCATCAGACTGAACAAATTGAGGATCAGGTTTGCTGACTTGCGCAGCGTTGTGTACGCGGTGAAGCAGTACTGCTTGAATTGGAGGTACTGAGGGGAGGTGGTACCACCCATACCTTCCACCATTTCCTTGCACAGTTTCATCATGGGAGCGAAGGGTTTGGGATCTCGACCCAGAATAAATCCAAAATCTGCGTGGAAAAAGTGACCGTCTGGTGCAAGTAGAAGATTCTCCAAGTGTCTGTCTCCAACGCCGAGAAGGTAGGTGATGACACAATATCCTGCACAGGACTTAACATAGGTGTCCATGGTTTCCTTGCGGACACCAAGAGGTTCGTTTTCGTCAGGATTGTTTGTCTGGAGATAAGCAAGGACGGATTTGTACTTGGCAGAGACGGCGGAGAGCGAGGTCGATGGTATGAATTGGACAGCGCCAGCAGTGGCATTCGTCGCGAGGATACGGTAAGGGGTGAGCTTAAGGTCCAGATTCTCCTTCTGAAGTAGACGATCCATCAAGATGATGATCTGAATGACAAGTTGATCTTGCCGGAGGTCATCACCGACTTTGAACAGAATTGGATACTTTCGTCCCTCAGACGTCTTGAAGGTAATGTGCAATGGTGACAACGAGGACTTGAACACATTAGATTTTTCGGGAAAGCAACCTGTCACCAACACTTCTGGATCCAATGGAAGAGGTAGTGGAGGATCGATATGGACGAGTTCGTTCTTGGGATCTTTCAAGTACTTTTTCAACTTTTCGATCTTCAGAGGTCGAGTCTCCCGAGCGAAGCGGATATCCTTTGCAATCTTCGTGAGTACAGCGACAAGCTCACCCTGCCGCAGTAGCGTCTTCCTGTGTTCTGGGGAGACCTGTTCGAGCTCGGCCATGAAGTAGTATTCTACTCGAGCAAAAAGTCTGCGTTGGGTGGACAGGGTGCCGGGGCTGGTATCATCACATTCAACCATGAGATACCAATGCAGATAATTTCCAAGTTTGAAATTGTTGGCAGCGCGGGTGATGAGGAAATTCGCCAACGACGAGTCATGGGCGGCGCCTTCAGTGTCGCCCCGAGAACTTTCCTCATACTTCAGAGCTTGTACCAGCTGCAGAAGGTACAAGAGCAGCTCCTCGTCGTCTGCCTTTCGAAGCCTATCTACAGCATAGGAACGAACAGCAGTATTATCGAAAGTCGGCCCGAGGAGCTCCAGTGCATCATCAACGTCAATCTCCGTCCACTTAGGAAGGATCTCTACCGCTTGCTGGGCTTCACCGGCGTCGCGCCAGTTGACGGATTTGACGAATTTGGTGAGCGCCCTTTTCTCGCGGGTAAGGTAATATCGGAAACGCCAGACCAGGTCTTTTTCTTCTGCTGTAAGGTCCTGAGTTGGCTCATATGACACAATGACGTTAAGCTCGTCGCGAATTTTGGGGTTCGGTTTCAGGTCACGGTCCATGATGCCAGTCCGATGGCTTCGAATCAACCTTCTATGTTTGTCCTCACAGGGGTTACCCGTCTGACCGACTTCCGGGTCGTAGATACGAATTACACCGTCACCATTCGCGCCTTCAATTCCTGGCCCAAAGCGGACTTCAGGAACAGGTTTCAGGGCCGCATTGGGGTTCGCGGGCGCATTTTGGGGATACGACGAGATCGGAGGGGGCGGGTACTGATGGTCAGTCCAGACGATCGGATGATCGAAGCGCGGGAACTCGATATACAGGACGAAATTCTCGTCATCTATCTCCTCATCGTCAGAATTTACTCCATCAGCGCCTGTTGACTCCGGCGCTTTGTTCTTGGTCGCTTTGAGACGGATCGCCCTCTTCCTCGCAGCTTCTTCAGCGTTCAGCTTCAACTTCTCCAGTTGGCGGAAGACCATTTGATCCATCCAGTCGATTCGGGGTATCTCCCCCATCTCATGTTTCTTGATCAATACCTCCACTCTTTCCAGCTCCATTTCCTCCACAGAAGGGCCAAGAGCGTCGGAGGTATTCGTCTTGCGTCGCTTCGGTGGTGGAGTCGATGGGGTGGTCGTCGACGAGAAGCCATCTGCTGCTTTATGCCGATACACTTTGCATTTTTGCCGTCCTGTCTTCAGCTTACCATCTTCATCGAACAAGGATACTGTCGTTCCGCCGAACGGTATGTAGTGGCCGTCAGCATCCTGGCCGCCGAATGGTGAGAGATCCCATATAGTGATAGCCAGTTGACAGCTCAGAGGAGCATCCTTGATGGATATGGGCATCTGTAGCCATTCATTCCAGGCTCGCACGGACTTGAAAGTCTTGTACGAAGTTTGCATGGGTACACCCAGCTGCTTGGAATCTGACCATAGCTGAACCGTCACAAACAGGTCGGAGGTTGGGTTCTGGATGGAGCCGATGTGACGCAGGTCCGGTCGGTTGTATAGGACTGAAAGTGGGATCTGCTTCTGCTTTCCTTCCAGTGAGCCACTTTGACCCAGTTAGCTTCCTATTTCCCACGTTCGGCGCACGTCGGGCATTGATCCAGACGTACATCTTGACATGGATCGGAAAGTCCACCTGTGTGGAGACGGCAAATGTGAATGCCTCCATCAGTCCATAGACCTATAAGTCCCTCATCACCAGAGTTTTATCTCTTCCCTAGCAGTTTCGTGTAACAAGGAGGTCGGAGAGTCTCCAAGTAAGGTACGTAGGTCAGATAAGGTCGACGACTTAAGCTGTGGAGCTCCACTGGGGAAGATCGTAAGAGCACTTTTGATTGGCTGCTTGTTGCATAATGACGGGGGATCAGTGTTCCTTGCCACGTGACAGTTATCGGCCAAAAAGGTAATAGTAGAAGGTTCTTATCCGCTTTTGGACAGGCACGCGTCGCGCGGGCGGATATCATTATGATGCTCCGTATTCTGCCACATCGTTTCTACTCGATTTGCGTATGAGACCGCATAGGTGTTGGCCCAAGGTGATAATATCAAGCCTATATTGTCGCCAAAAGTTTTTCTCCTGGCGTAATTCAATTTTTGTCTCATCACTGTGGACTTCAGCCTTTCAGCCTCGTCGCGCTCACCGCTCTAGGCTCTATTAAAGCGCTACAGTGTTTCTGCTCCTTTGTGCTCCGTTTGTCATCAGATCCTAGCCCAAGACTATGGCAGGGATTGCGCGTGCTCGTGAGGCTGAAAGTCGATCTTCGTCGCCCCAATCCTCCTCAGATAAGGAGAACCGCCAGAACTCCTCAAGACCTCGCAAGAGAACCCAGACTCAGACCATGGCGTCTTCAGGCGCCAACGCGAAACGCCATCGACTGGCTCAGCGAGCGTCGAACATCCAGGGAAGTCAATCCCAGTTGTCCCAGTCTCAGCGATGGGACAAAGATAAGAAATACTACGATCCAGATCAGGATGAGAATGAGAGAAGGCGCATTCGCAGGGAACTTCGAGAGTTGCATCGAGAATTAAATGGTATTTCTGCTCTTTCTAGCCTTATATAACTATAAGCGTGAAGTAAACCGCATGCTCTAACACTGGTGCAGACTACAGGAACGAGTACATGCAAGCAGGGAATATCGGGATTCGAGAGACCATCGAAAAGGCCAATGAGATCTTCCAAAACGTCAAGCAAACGTCGGATGCGACCATCGACTCTCGTCTCCTGGTCACTGCCGCAGATTTGGGGTATAAGAAAACAGCGCAATTTACCTTGGGAGATGCGTCCGCAGGTATCGATGTCGACGAGTTCGTGTCCAAGTGTATATCGTTTATGCGCCACGGCCCAAGTGATCCAGACGCCGCATTATCCAGCACGCAGCGTCGACGGCCCCGTCCTTCCGGCCGCAGTCAAGCAGACCCGGATGAGAGCGATGATGAGACTGGAGACGCAATGAACTGGGATTGGCTGGGGCGGGCTGCCTGCTTCCGCCATAACTCCCGGCCTTCAGTTTCTGGTTTTCTTTTAGGGCCGTTGTCGGTACAGAAGCGCGCCCGTCTAGTGACGCAACGACGAGCGAGAGAGCGCATTGACCCATCGCAGGCGGTTCGACCACAGGAGCTCCAGGAGAAGGACCTCGACAGGCAGGAGACGTCGAACCTCACGACCATGTGCGCCAAGATAAACGAATTGCTCGCGCAAACGGTAACTCATGGCCAGAATACTGTGGATAGAATACTATCGCAGATGGAGGAGGAGCCTACGGAGGAGCTTGTCCAGGAAGTCATGGCCAAGTATCATGTTGCTGACGACGGAGGAGTACCTCTTTTTCACTTTTGCATAAACCCAAGGTCGTTTGGGCAAAGCGTGGAGAACTTGTTTTATGTCAGCTTCTTGGTACGAGATGGGACTGTCGGGATATCAACCGACAGTCGGCAGTTACCCACTCTACGTAAGTCCCCTGCCGGTCTACTCCTGAGTGGCTTGTGGAGCTGATCTGTTCAACCCCTAGATCCTTCGAAACCGTATGCCCCGAGTGAGGCCCAAAAAAAGGGAGTCCAGAAACACCAGGCTATCTTCAGTCTCGATTTTGAAACATGGCGCGAGCTGATTGAGGTATATGATATCAAGGAGTCTATAATCGAACATCGCCCCGAAGAGCAGTCACAATCGACGGGCGGTGGTTGGTACAGTTGAAAGGCACTTGTCCTTGTTTGTTCGTCTCAGATGTGTGGTTATTGTATAGAAGCGATACCCATGTTGTTTTGGATGTTATACTCATCTTGAGGCTGCAATGAATAGAACTACACATTCAATATTTGTGATATAGACCCTAACTCCTGGCATCGCTCCATGTGTGGGGCAACGACATCTGTAGCCTGAAGTGTTACCGAGCCTCGTGGCATTAACACCAAGCAAATACAAATTAAGATCATACGTCAGTGGCCGACACTCCTGGAAAGTCTTTTTTATTCGAGCTTAATTCTATCTATATGTTGGATTTAAACTGTGATCAATTCTCCGCTGGAAGATGCATCGACGTCATTGCCACCCCACCAGAAACTGACAGCTCCAGGAGCTTATGTCATGCGACATTGCTGTAATTCTCGTAGTTTACCAAAGGATCTCACCGTTCTAGATGAAATCTATTTTTCGCTTCGAAGCTGAGCTGCTATCTTGATCTTGATTATCCAAAAGGCCACCCAATGAGTACAGGCGATAGGAAGCGCAATTGAGCTCTGGCCCGAATTGACATATATCTTCAGCTGTCCAAACAAAAGAAAAGGCGCCTATCATGCCTCGACTATTCCCATCCAACCCAGAAGATGTGATGGTGATCCGAAACGTCACCTCCGACATCATCACCATGAGTCTTCCATTCGCACGATTTGGCCGTCTCAAATTTGGCGCACGGGGAACATTGGGTGAGTTCCGTCAAAGAAGTATCATAAATTTCACATTGAGCTGCTAATCGAGCTTGAACAGTCAAACTGCCCTCAGGTTCCCTCGCCGTCTTCTCCCCGGTCAACCTCACACCCCAGGTCCGCCAGATGATCTCTCAGATGGGCCAGGTGAAATACATCGCCGCACTAGATCTCGAGCACCACATTCACCTCACGCCGTGGAAAGAAGCATACCCAGAGGCCGAGATAATCGCCCCGGAAGGCCTCTGGGAGAAACGGCAGTCGAACCCAGAGTACAAAAACACACCGTTCTCGCACATCTTCCGGAAAGAGGACCAGCATCAAGGACCCCGCAAGATCTCGGAGGAATTCGACGCGGAGTTTGAGTCCGAGTACGTGTACGGACATTCGTCGCGGGAGTTAGTCTTCCTACATAAGCGGTCGCGCACACTCATCGAGGCGGATCTCATGTTTAATCTCCCGGCTCGGGAGCAGTACTCGCGGACGAAGGAAAGCGCGACATCAGGGATCTTTGCGAAGATTATCAACACCGTGATGTCGGCGGAGCCGCCGGCGACGTGGCAGAAGCGGTTTGCGTGGTATATTCTGTCGAGTGCGGATCGGAAGGCGTTTACGCAGTCAATGAGGAGGATCGATCAGTGGGATTTTAATCGGTTGATTCCGTGCCATGGGGATATTATTGAGAGCGGTGCCAAAGGGAGTTTTCGTACGGTTATGGCATGGTTCTTGGAGGATAATAGAGGAGGGTCTACTTGACAAAATTGGTTTGTCGTTCTGGTTTGCTGGTAATTCTTGATCGCGTATTAGTAGGCTTCTTAACATCTATAATTTACGGCAATTTCTTGAAAGCCGAGTGAGTCTGGTCAATAAACTGTTCCACTGACGCTGCGCAGTGTTTGCTAAATTACCTCAATCCATGCCAAGGTATAGAGGGAGAGCTACGTCGACGGCGTTAGGGGCTGAAGGGTGAAGGTCAGACGATCCAGGCTGCTGCATTTTGTTTTTGGGATGACGTCAGGCAGCAAGGAGTCTTGGATTTCGTCATCCAAACAATAACAACCCTTCAACCCGAGATGGTTCAGATTATCTTTCTATCTATACCCCTGAGGTAATGAGGTACGAGGTATTCCGTGTTTTACATGCATTGCTATGACGGCCGACTGAGAGCTCGAAATCAATAGAACAATAACCCACATCCAAAAACGAAGCTGAGAATAACTCTGGTATGCTTTGAGAAGGATTTCCCGAAATGGCCTAGTAGTGGAGCTGGTGGAGAAGAGCTTCAGCCTTAGTTGTGGCATTGTTGTACTTGTCGCACTATCAATTCTAGACAATGGTACAACCATACTTACAGCGGAGTCAATTCTTGCAGTCATCCTCGTTGGGATATCTGGAGTATTCGGTAAAGACTTAAGTTTGAGGACAACGCATGATGCCTTGGAGCGGTAACGCCAATCATCACTCGAATGAGCGGTCAAGCGGCCCTGATCACTACTGTAGTCAACGTTAGAGTTGCTCAAGATTCAATGATTGTCGGTGCCCAGAAAATTGGGCAGACCGGAGGATTTCCCAGGCAGCCAATCGTATTGAGAACAAGATGTCGTGCCCATGCGATGATGACAGAGATGGCAGAGCCGACACCGAAGGACATGGAAGAGGGTGACAAAAAAAGACTAGTACTTGCGATGATCATCATCAGGTGTGACGACTGCGCCGGCGAAGCTTTTAAACTGCACTCGTCTCCGTTATTCTTTATTTTCTTTCCCCTTCCTCTTCTATTGACCCTCTGTACTATTCGTCCTCGCTCAGTCTATTCTCAAACCATCGTCTATAATAACAAAGCGCCTCGAAAGTCATTCGTTGTGAGAAAAAAACGACCACATCTCAACAACAACCATCTAATTCAATAATCTCCTATACACAATGCCTGTCGTCTCGCGTCTAATCTCAATTGTCCTGCGTGTCGCAGAGGTCGCCTTTGCTGCGGTATGCATCCCAGACCGATCAAATGACTGAAGCGCAACTGACTCTATGGTGACTCAAGGTCGTCGCAGGCATCATCGGCTACTATCTGCATCAGTTCTCCCATATTGATGCATGGCCACAAGCACGGTGGATCTACACTGAAGTCGTCGCCGGCTTATCCATACTACTCGGTCTCATATGGCTGATACCTTTCTCTTCTGGCTTCTTCTCCTGGCCGTGTATGTCTGCTCTCCCTGCCCTGTTGCGCACGATGATACCTTGTCGCTAACAGGAAATATCTACAGTTGATGTGGTCATTTCTTTCGCCTGGTTCGCCGCTTTCGGCATTCTCGTCGATGCCATCCACAAGTTGAACTGCGGCAGTATCTGGCACTGGCATTTTGACACCCACACCACCGACTCCTGTGGTCGTTGGAAGGCCGCCGAAGCGTTCAGCTTCCTCTCCGCTATCGTGTGGCTCGTCTCCGCTCTTGTGGTTCGTATTATGACTCTGTAACCCAAGGATTCTGATTCTGAGAGCATCTCCTAGGGCATCTGGTTCACCTTCCGCGTGAGGGGCGCCAATGCTGATGGCTATTAGTAAGTTGACTGCCTCAACAAATCTGAAATATGACAATCTAACATGTTCTATAGTGGCCGTCGTCGTTTTGGCCGCTCCGCCGTCTAGTCATTATTCGGTCTTTCGCCACAATGAAACTGTTTGTCCTTGCCCCGGGCATTGACCTGCAGTGGACGGTTGAATCTATCAAGCATTCGACAACTTTTCGCAAGCGTTCCTTACAGTTCCAACTTACGATGACTGCAATCCTTAAGTCCCCTGAACATAATCACTGTGCCCCTTTATCATGGCTCACTTAGGGAACTACCCTGGTGACGATGTGGTGAAACGAGGTGACGATCTTTAACTGCTCTTACGTTGGTTATCTGCTGATTTGATACCCTCTTATGTGCTAATGATTCATGTGGCATGTTGATGACATACTATTTTTGCTCGTTCGAGGTCATATCCTCCGTGTGATATATGCGCTTAATATAACTTTGCTGTCCATTTTGATTGTTCTCAATGACAAAGGATGTATAGAGTCAAGACGGCGCTACGTCTGGTCGTTACTCGTTACTCCGTAGTATGGATAAATGTATCTGACTAAGGTGGGCCCATCCTCACTAACTTCTGGGTCTTACTTGATCTCCCTCCACGACACCCATTCTTATCATGGACATAAATCACAGAATCGAGGATGCTGTCAGACCAGGAGTCCTCATCGATCTCAAGCTCTAGAAATTCATCTCCCTACGAGAAAGTCCCTCGTGGAATCCAGGATTATTCACTAGAAATCCTCCGCCATGAAGAAAGTTCCGACGTCAGCCACTTTATGCCGGTAGCTCGCGGGAGCGCCGATTCGGCACGAGCCGGTCAGGAACACTGCACGAGGGAACCGCTCTTGCCAGTCCATACGCATCAACAACAAAATCGCAAATCTTCAAGGCGATTTTCATCTTTCGTATCTACAATCTGGTCGTGGGTACTGGGGCCTTCGCCCCCTCATATATACCAGATCACACCTTTGCTGCCCCGCTGGCAGACGGCGCCGGGGCGTTTGGTGCAGAGGTTCTTTCCCAGTACTATCAGCAAGGTCTTGCTTCTTCTGTCTTGCCTGGCTTTCTGGGGAGTAGTTTTCATAGCATCGCTACATTCTGCAATTGCCAGCTCGGCTGTAACGGGTTATGGGGAACCCGTCAAGTTATCCTGTCACAGTCGACTATGGTAAGCTAAGGTCGTTCCTTTCATCCTCGAAACGACGCACGCTGATGATATAGGTCCAATGCCACCGACTGTGGTCTAAACGGTGATGCATGTCGTCCGTTTGATGACGGCGCATTTGCGTTCCGCTGCCCTGCGAGTTGTTCGGCCGCAAAGGTTCTCGAACCATACTTCGTTGGCCCGCAGGAGATCAATTACCGGACTCTGGTCATCGGTGGTGAGATAGGAGATGGAAACGGCAGCGACTACGGCGTGTATCGCGGTGACTCTGCCATTTGTCCTGCTGCGCTACATGCGGGACTCATTAGTGATGCCAAAGGCGGCTGCGGGGTTCTCCGTCGGACGGGTGAACAGTCCAATTTTTTATCTGTAGAAAGGAACGGTATCTCAAGCATTGCATTCCCTTCTAATTTCCCCTTGTCCTTTACCTTTGATGGGAAAGGGTCAAAACAAGACGGTGGCATTGACTGCCAGGACATCCGTTGGCCGCTGTTCGCCTTCTCCGTGGTAGTCTCAGCATTGCTCTCACTTTTCATCACTTCTCCAGCGGCATTCTTCGCTTCGATGTTCTTCATTGTCTACTTCCAAGTCGCGCTGTCGTCGGATCCCCCCTCTTCTCCAAACTACTACGAGCTCATCTCCATCGCCCTAGGCAGATTCCTCCCCTGCGCTTTCGTCGGCTTCGCCTTGTACTATTTCTGCGTCAAGCACACCCTAAAAGATCTAGACGCTCACTGGGACAAGACAATTCTCTGGCTGGGGCCTTGCTGGGTCGGCGCCCTCAACACCGACACCTTCGACAAGATCCCCATATCCCGCCTCACGATATCCAGCAGCAGCCCGGCGCCATACCAGCCCTGATCATCATCGTCGCCCTCCTATGCGGCATCGTCATCACGCAGACCATCGTCTTCCGCAACGAAGGCCGTCTCCCCAAAATGCTCGCCATCTACGGCGTCCTGGCCGCCGCCGTCCTCGCGCTCCTCGTGGTGGCGCACATGAACCTCCGCATCCACCACTACATCCTCAGTTTGCTCTTCCTCCCCGGGACGACCTTGCAGACCCGTCCGAGCCTGTTGTACTCCGGACTCCTGGTTGGACTGTTCATCAACGGAATCGCCCGGTGGGGGTTCGATAGTATTCTCCAGACGCCTGCGGCGCTGCTCGACGGCGCGCAATTGGGAAGCGCGCTTCCACAGATCGGCGCCCCTCTGGTTGTTTCTGCGCAGGAGATCGTCTTCACTTTCATGAAGAATCTAACTGACGAGGCGGATGGGATCAGCGTGCTTGTCAACGACGTGGAGAGATTTCATGCTTTCCGGTCAGGGGATGGGTCAGTAGAATCATTCAATTGGACGAGACGTAGAGCGGAGGAACCTGAATATTTCCGCTTCGGGTATGTCAAACTGAATTCGCTGGGTGGAGTGTGGTACGAAGATTTTACGAAGCCGGTTGTTTGGGACGTTGATGGCAGTTGGAATCGCTCGGCTCCCTCTTAGTGTTCTCTCGATGGTCGTCAGATCCAAATTTATTTCTACTTGTTCAACTCCGAGGACAATGTAAGATAAGTATCGGCCGAAAAATGTATCCGTATTATATCCATGATCCCTTGACGAGATTGAATGTAGACGCCCGAACACCAGACAATGCATGAGAATCTGAAACTACTCCTTCAGATGATCGCGACATCTCACCTGAATGACGCTCTGCTTCCCGCCGTCTTCAACAATCATAGCCGTCAACTTCCCGCCCTTGACGCACCCAGAGTCCAGACCCTTGGTGTACGTCTTGAGCGACAAGGAACTTTTCGAATCATGGCCGTAAATCACAGTCATAACCTGCGACTTCGGGTCCGGCACGGAACCCTTCAGACTAGAGTACAGCAGGGACTGATGTTTGTTGAACAGCTGCCATTGTCGGTTTAGCAATTTGCCGGGGAAATTAACGGAGCGTAGCGCATACCTTGGTCCACTTCGTCCCGTGCCGCGTCGAGCTAGGCACATGCGTATCCAGATCGATGGTCAGCATGTTCATCACGCTCGAGGGATCCTGCTTGTCGAGCTCCACGCCCGGCACCAAGCCCCCATGCACGACGACCACCTGTCCCAATTCCGGGATCTGGCCCACGTTCAGGATGACGGGGCAAGCGTCAAGCCACTGCACTTGTTCGTTGGACAACTGGCGCGCGAGCGCGCGCTCCTTCTCTTTCAGCCCGAAGAAAAGTTCTGGGTTGATGTCACCGTCCGAGTCCGGCGAGAGGGTATTCGATGCCTCCATGTCGTGGCGGAGCAGCAGCACCCGGTCTTCATGGTTCCCCCGAACACAGGAGGCGGCGTACTGGCGGGCCAGGTCGACGACCCCGGGGCTGTCGGGGCCCTTGTTGATCATATCGCCGGTGAAAACGAGGTGGTCGCGCTCGTGGTCAAAGGAAACTTCGTCAAGAAGGAGTTCCACTACCCACATCGATCAGTACGACATGATTCAAGAAGGAAAAGGGAAAAGGGAACACACGCTCATCCTTGCAGCCATGCACATCCCCGATGAAAATCAACCTCCGCGAGCTAGGCTGTCCGTTCTTCTGCGCCTTTACGGCAGGCAACAACGAAGTATCCAGATCCCTCAATTGCGTAATATCGTCGAATCTCGGCAGTGCATTCATACCGAACCAACCCCCCACATCGTCCTTAGTCGACGGGTCCAACGAGTGCAGCAGCGCCTCTTGTTCCTCCAGCCGCGGCGAGAGCACAAACAGCCACCCCGCCAGGCAAGACACCAGGAGCACCAGGTATATAATCGCGTATCGGCGAAAGCGCGGCGCCGTCACCATAGACATGAACATCTGCACCCATTGCGGGGAGTCGGACCCGTCGGGGGAAACGGAGAGGGGGGTGTATTTGGCGCTCGTTTGCCATTCGTTGCGCACGTAGTTGATGAGCGGGCGAGTGTACCTATTCAATCGGTAGGAGTAGCCTGGCGGCGACGGTGGGAATCCATCGTCTGAGTAGTCGTCGGAGATCTCTAGGCTCTCCCTGTCTGCGTGAGCCGCCATGGGCGCAGAGTCGCCAGGCATTGGCGATTTGGCGATGAAATCCGCAATGGTTCGGTTGCACGCAAGGTCGGAGATTCGCATGTATGTCCTAAGACAATATTCGTGAGCTGAACAAATAGACCATGGACCTGCATGGAACTACTGTTGCGGTCAATGGCGAGATGGAAGGAAGCAGGTTTCACTCGTGACGACTTCCTTCATCGGCTGTTTTATTCTTAGCACGCCTACGACATAGCTTCGGAGTGGAGCCTGAGGCTCGATCAGAGAATCGGGTTAGTGGATGGCGTTAGCACTATTCCTTTCTGAGGCTAGTGTCACATCGCCTGACCTGTCTGGTTATGTAATCCATCTTTATCTTGATGCGGTCATAACAATACCCAAGCATTATGGCGGATCAGACACATGAAGTCGTAAGTAATAGACCGTCAGTTTCGTGAGTATGATTTCTATACAACTGCTTATAATACATTAACGGAATCTCTCATGAACTTCCACTTCTTCCATATGTTTCTTAACCTTCTCCAAGACCTTCTCGTCATATACCTCTGTCACATCTTTCCCACCTCGGAGGACCTCCCGCTCATGGCGAGTTCCCTCTTCCTTGGTCATGCAAACGAGGTTCTTCAAATCAATTGGAATGAACTTCTGTCCTTCCTTTTCCCACTCTGGATCAGGCAAGAAGCCACGAGCCGGTCGTTGCCAGGGTACCAGTATCAACCGGTTAGTTAGGTTGCTAATAGCACTCCTGCCCCTCCAGATCTCCTCCACGAGGTATGCAACATCATCTTTGCTGATAGGAATACGAAGCCCAATGAGATCCTGCCCAACTTCAGCCCGAGCCAATCTTTCATGTAATCCTTGTAGGGATGCAATGATGCTATCATAGAGCTTTTCCCGGCCTTTTCCGCCGACATTGTAATCATTAGGATAGCCTGAGATGTCGCAGATGACGTGATTGGCAACGGTATATCCGAAAACAGCAGGCATGGTTCCCAAGACGGGAAGAATGCGAACCCGAAATTCGGGCAGCACGCCGAGCTCACCGACCTGTCCTTTGGCGAATTCTTCCTCGGCAAGTGGTAAAAGACTAGCCTTTCCAGGACCAGGTTTCTCCGTTGAAAATACGACGGGAATGCCCGAGTTAACCCCCAGGAGCTTGAGACGTCGCCGAGTGCTGCGCGACAGAGGGTCATCGGTACTCAGTGAGATGTCGCCAACCATAATGCGTGTGGGATCGGATTTGCATCCTGCTCCCATTGACGATATCACGGGAATAGAGTTGGAATGGCAATAGTGCAGCAGTTCAACTTTTGATGTGATATTGTCGATGCAGTCAAGCACGTAGTCTGGCTTTCGTCCCTTGTCGCTGTCATCCCATGACCATGGAGCAAGTAGATCTGCAGCAGCGGATCCACCAAAGAGTTCGTTCCTACAGTCAAACTTGACCCAGGGGACAATCTGTTCCAATCTCTTTTTAATGCAATGCACCTTGGGAGTGCCCACGTCGGCGAGGGTAGCGAGAGCATGTCTATTCAAAGACGACAATGTTACTTGGTCGAAGTCAATCAGGCGAATCTTCGCGACGCCCGAGCGGGCAAGCGAGGCGACAGCATGAGAGCCCACACCACCACACCCAACCACAATGATGAATGATGAACGGAGTTTCGCTAGGCCTTCGTCGGTAAGAAATACACGGTTACGGGCGAGTTGTTCGAGTATGAGATCTGGCCAAAGCCCTTGCAGTCAGCACTGTGGTTACCAGGGAAGGGCCGCTAGAGGCTGAACAAACCGTCATCATAGTCACCCTCTTGCGCTCTTCGCGCAAGAGCCGCGCTGCGTTCGTCCTCTTTATTCAAGTGTGTTGATGACGCCGCTGTACCGTACTCTGTAAGCTTCAAGTAGAGCAATAATCAGCGTAAGCCCTCAGTGAATTGACTTGGCACAGTTAGATTACCTTTTCTGCATGATGCCTTTCGTTAATTGGAGGAATGGAAGCTTTAAGATGCTGCACAGCTTCTTTCCTTCTCAGAGCTTGGTAGCCGAAGATTGCGCCGGCAACGGCAGCTCCAGAGACCATAGCAGTGACTGCAAGCTGAGCCTGCTGCTGGCCAACCTGGCGCTGGAGCCACGAGGACATTTGACGCAAGTATCAGAGCCGGATTGATGGTTTGGGTATTTTGCAAATTGACGTAGAAGTGTGACAATTGCGATAATTCGCTCCAGGGGACACAATGCTTCACACGACCGACCGCCCGACCGAGTGACCTGGGATATATACACCAAAGCCCTCCAGGAAGAAATCAACATGCAATCATGTCCTATGCAATTGACGTAGTCGGCTCATTCGGTGGACTTTCTCGAAGCTTAAAGTGGGACCATGATGTAGGGTCACGTGCACTCGTGCAGGCGCGTCCAACAGCATCGGGATTCGAGACTCTTCCGACAGTTGACAACACAAGATGTCCGTCTCATCCAACCACATGGGTAAGTTGTGCACTATTAGCCAATTAACATTGATTATTGTCTAACAGTATCTGGCGCAGATCTGAGAAGCACAGCTTTCCGATCTCGATGACGATAAAACCATCACAAGAGCGCTCATGACACAACTGAACCAAACGTGTTCCAGACCACCGACTTCATCCTTCGCGGCGCCTGCGCTGGGAATGGAAGAAGACGTGGGCTTTAGATGTGGGTGACTGAGTTGAACAGAGATCCAAGAGATTAGCGAAAGTCTGGCTTCTTCTCATCCTTATGGTACTGATTCCGACAGCAAACTTTGCCAGCGCGATCATACCGCCCGCCTGTTCTTTCTAGTGACAATGCCTTCCTCTTATGTTGTGGATTGGGCATTGGATATCACTTCAGGATACTTGAGAAGGCAGGGATCTAAGCTTCCAGGGCTCCCGTAACCCGCATAGTTTCTACATACATTTCTCTTTCCCTCTCTTACTTTTCCTTTTAGTCTCTCAACCTCTGTCGCTCTACTCTCTTTCTTTCTTTCTTTTTTGACTCCAGATTACCGAGACCCTCAACGCCAGAGCCGATGATGACAATCCTTGCATAACTCCGAGGTGTCATTGCCCATCTGTTTCGGCGGATAACGAAACGATGCCGAGCGGACCTACCAATGAGGGGCCGAAAATTACTGAAGTAGTTTTCAATCTGATATGGCCGGCAGCGGGATTCTCTTCATTTCACGTACTCACTTTTTTCTAGTTATACCTTCCCAGAGGTCTCATTCGATATCTCCTCGATTCGCACTATCAGCCAAAATAACTGCCATTCTGGCCCTGCTAACTGTCAACAAGAGAAGCGAATGATGACATGCTGTGAAACCGCAGCCCTGTGTCCATTAACTTGGTTTCGGACCTGTCCTCGAGATGCCGATGGACAGATAGATACCGCAACACCATTGTCATTGAGTCCGTAATTGGCTGGGAGACAATGACTCTAGAAGTCTACTAGACTAATATCTACACCTTACCAAATCCTCTGTTACCCCATCTTATACCGTTGTACGCACTCTTTTGTCTTGTTTCTTTTTTTCCAAATCAGCCCGATGACGAGGATGAACCAAAAGCCAAAGTTGTATGGTATCCGGCCCATCACGTGTACACACACGCATCTATTTATGCCTGGAAACCAATGAGAACCTGAGAGCTAATCTGAGGGCTGTGATATTATTTGTTAGTGGCCGCCTGTTATCTATGATCTGTGACACCGATAATCGTGGATTGAATAGCTAGACTCAATTGAAGACTGGTGTACGTAAATGGTGAATCGTATATCCAATAAAATACTGAAACAAATGTACGCTCAGATGCATCGTGTCATTCATCATCGACTGTGCCACAGGGACACAGACACTGGACAAAATATAGACTGTACAAGCGCCAATTAGCGCAAAAACCTCTCAACGGCACCGCCGATATTCTTCAAGTCGAGCAGGAACGTATCATGTCCGAATAAGGAGATGTCCTCGCCCAGCTCGATGTGTTCGACGTTCTTGTTTCCAGCCGCGCGAAGAGTCTCGGCGATTTCACGTTGCTGCCACGCGGGGAAGAGAATATCGCTGGCAACACCCATGACCAGGACCGGGTGGTTCTTCAACGGCGCGAGTCCGGCGACGAGGTCGGCGGGTGGTGCATCTGATTGCTCGCCTGCGGCGACTGACTCGTCCGCCGAGGAGCTGGAGTCGGTTGTGGAGGGTTGCTCCTCGTAAGGCTTTTCGGGTAATGTCAGGCTGCACGAGGCATCGTTGTAGTGGAGTGTCTTGCCGCCTTGAGCGATACGAGCCTCAAAACCCTGTCTGCGCGTCTTGGTCTCTGCCTGCTGCGACCGGCTGAGGTCGAATAGGTCCATGGCTTTGGAGACGTAGAGTAGACTATTTGGGTCGTACTCGAGGCAGAATTTCTCGCCAGCATGATCGAGATAGGTCTCAATAAGGAAGTCAGGACACAAGGCCGGCTGTTTGCTGGGGTCGGCGCGCTTGCGCCCGAACCGTTTCTCCCATTCCGGTCCACTTCTGTACGTGACTGTTGCGATTTCTCTGGCGAGTTTCATTCCCGAGTGAGGCGGGATCGAGTCGTAGTAGAAACCGCGGTTCCATTTGGGGTCCATCATCAGCACCTGGCGTTGGGTGTGTCTCATGGCGATGCTGTACGGGTGGCTCCGGGCGCATCCACTGATACTCACGATCTTTCCTATGCGCTCGGGGAACAACACGCCCGCCGCAAGACTCTGCATCCCACCCATGCTGGAGCCAACGGAGGCGTACAGCTTCTGGACTCCCAGTGAGTCCAGTAGACGAAACTGTGCTCGAACCATGTCGTCCAGTGTAAGGATGGGAAACCGCGTTGCGTATCTCTTCCCGTCGGACGGATCGATCGAGGACGGCCCTGTGCTCCCATAACAACCCCCAATAACATTTGTACAGATAACGAAGTATTTGTCCGTGTTCAACGGCTTGCCAGAACCGATGAATTTCTCCCACCATCCCGGTTTTGGGTTGACCTCGGTACTATGTGCGTGACTCGACGCCGACAGACCAGTATGTAATAGAATAGCGTTGCTCTTGTCCGCGTTCAACTGACCCCATGTTTCGTACGCGATATCAAACTCTGGCAAGACACCACCCCAGTCTAGTAGCAATGGCTCCTCGCAGTGGAAGTTCTCATGTTGTCCGGTCGTGTATGAAGGCTCCGGACCCGACTCGATCGATCTGGCCGATAGCAGCGCCGATTTCGCGTCCAGGGCGTCGAGACAGGGAAATGAAAGTGCCGGGTTCGATGAATCTCGCGCTGGAGGATTTTCGGCGGTGGCACTTTGTATCTTCCGAGCAGGAGCTGAGTGTAATAAGCGACGATTCAATGTGCTGATTTGAAATCGGTTTCTTGCAGTGGTAAAACTGGCCGCGACACTTTCGCTCTGTCTCCACAGTCCGACGGCCTGCAGGCCACGAGGAGCTGAGCGTGCCACGCCTCGGAGAGAGCTCATTTCTTTCGACAGAATCAAAGCAAGACAACTATCGAGCAATAGCTGAATGCTCCAGGCGAAATTAAACTGCAAGTGAATGGGTGTGGAGAAGTCATCGTTCTGACCTCCGGAGTACAGTGTTTATGAGCCCGCGGGCTTTCATTTACTTTCCGTACTTTCCGTATTGCGCAGGCGGAGAGCTGCCTCAGGCCCCCGCCCATCACTAAAGGGCTAATGGCGTCATTTTTTGGACATCTGATTGGCAGGTCCGGTGCTCCCTCTTGCTGAGAGTCTCAAAGTCCGGCCGGAAGGTATTTTCTGGTGACAATGGACTATAGAGGTTCCTACCAAGACGATGCACACATTATGAGGGCTAAACAGGCTGGAAAATCACAGTATGGTAAGAGCTATCGTCTCAACATTCAATTCGATGTATTCGATGTTATGGCCAGCATGGCATCACCTGAGTCCACTAAGTGTGATCAAGTTGTCTGCACCTATATCTATCCCCGTGACATACATGCATCTCCCCGGTGCACAATTGGCATGGAATATCATAAATGTCCCGTCAGGAGCTACGGTAGCGGCTCCCGGAGACTTCAGGTTAAAGTCCCCCGTCTTGACTAAGGCGCGAGGGGCCCTCTTATACGGCCCCTTCAAAGACGTCGAGTAGGCATACTTGACATCATACTTTGGAGAAGTGAAGCAATGAGAAGAGTAAAAAAGGTAGTAATAGCCCTGGTCGGTCCGGATGATGTTGGGGGCCTCGACCAGAGGCCCATCTTCCTCTTCGTTCCTGAGAATCTCGATGGGATCCGCAACTGGGGTGATACCGTCATCTTGTAGCTCCTGAAGCATGATGGAGACTTTGACAATGGGTTTCTTGCCATTGTTACAGTCGCCGCCGTGGCCGATGCTATTTCCATCATTTTTGTACGTGACATACAGTTTTCTGTCTGTGTCTCGAAACGGCGACGGGTCAATGGCACCGCCATGTTCCCGGGGGCAAGCAAGAGGTTCCGAGATGGGCTGGTAGGGTCCTAGAGGGTCCTCCTTCTCTGAGACTGCGGCACCAATGCAATGATGGCGCTTCCAGTTCTTCAATTCCCCAGAGTAATATAGCACGAATTTACCATCATCCTGTAGATAAGCTGTCAGAATACGATATTCCTCAAAGAACTGTTATGGCCTGTGGCATACTCGTTGAATAACATCTGGAGCCCAGTGATTCACCCCCATTTCCCAACCTGCCAATGTAGGCATGGCATCGTAACCATCTAACCGCGTCCAATTCTTTAGATCCTGAGATATAGCGACCGGAACATGCGCAACGTCAGAATTATTTATGGCCGCATTGGTTGCATAGGAATACCACGTGCCATTGACACGGATCATCCCAGGATCGGGAAAATCGTATATGGCGTAAATCGGTCGGTTCGACTCGTCATGATAACTCGCGTCGTCAGAAGGCTCTCGGTGACGCAGGAGGATGACGATGATCGCTATTACCAGGAATCCTGTTATTCCAAGTTTGATGATTTTCTTTCGCGTTAATGGTCTGGAGATGAATAAAGCCGACCAGGGCTTCGATGGTGTCTCATCCTCTGGCTGCAGAGAATAAATAGAAGACGTGAGCTGGCCCTTCTTGGTAGTGAAGGTGGAAAGGAGGCCTCCTGTCATCCTTTCCCAGCGATCGACCAGCCCACGAGCCTTATCAAATATGTGCTCTAGAGAGCGATAGAAAGTGTCAACGGAAAACAATATCAACGATGCATGGCTCCAACGGAATTGATTGGTCTATCTTATGCTCAGGAAAGTATGGGAAGAGAAGATCAACTGAGCCATTGAGGTTTTATGGCGCCGAACGGCAGACCACGGTGCTTTTTTCGAAGTGTGCTGCCTCCCGAGGCTGTGATAAGGGCTCTGCCAAAAACTCAATTCGGCCGTTCAGGATGCAAGAAGGCCAACTGGTCAGGGACAGATGGGACGATCAAAGCACCAACTTACAGGTACGGAGTACTTCGCACTGGGTTCCAGAATTAGTCCTCTGCAGAACAGAAGGTGGCTGATCCACCAATCCAGGTGCAAGAAAAATGCCCAGTCAAACTTATCACAATCGCAATATAAATTGTGGTGGATTGTTAGTGGCTAAAACTTTCACGTGCCTTTTATGATGCCTGAGGGCCCTTGACACCCCTTTAGTTACGGAAGTAGTTCATTATAGTAATCATATCCTTGTCTGTGTTCAGTGTTTTATTCATGTCTCCAGCATGCTCCATGTCTACTTACTAATAAGCTCATTCCAGACATTGACATCAGTACAGAGGTCTTTATTGGTAGTCTTTCTTTCTTTATGCTTGGACTCATAATTCGCCTGGCAGCATAGTATCCCTGTGTTAGCACACCCTCTCCTTGCTTTTGCTACCCTTCAGACACACAAGACTAATGGTCCACTTTCCTAGATTTTTTAGTCTGGTATACGCAGCTATCGTCCTGCGATGCTTGAAAATCTGAGCTTCGCAGAAGACAAATTCCCTGGGTCATTTTCCACGTCGCCATGGTGGCGTCGGACATTCTGTCAGAAGCAAAAGCCTCGCTGCCCTACTAATACGGCGATCCTTCCGCGACACCTTCGATAGCTTGCCCTTGGCAACTCCGGGGGTGCTATCGCAAGAGTCAACTACTTGATGGATTCCACACCATCTACGCAGCATTCATTCTTACAGCTCTCGCCATTTTCTGCTGTGCCAGCTTTCCACTGCTGAGCACCTAATGACTTGTTTTAGAGCCAATAGGTAAGATCTATACTGGCCCTTCTGCTATTAACTTGCATGCCGTTCCTATTCAACATGTATTGTTACAGTGGGACGCTGAGGATGAAGGGTAAGTATGCTTTTAAGGCTACGGAATAATGAGACAGGTGCAGAACATTCCCTCATCCCCTAAAAAGTTGATCTCTGTTTGCGTTTCACAATTGTGGCTAGCATGTTGACACAATTAATCATTGTCTTCCCTAATGTACCTTGTACATGGCACAGCCCATTCAATCTAGAAAGAGCAGAAATTTGCATCAAATTCAAAACAAGACAGAGAAAGCGGAAACAATATTTCTGGCCAGGAAGAATAATGGCAGAATACGCTCGTCATGGCAGGATTTCTTGGCTAGAAAGTACAAGCACTGGTCACTCTGCAGTATGATGTGGTCACTGGTCAATGTGCCTCTCAGAGACTAAGATGTCAGGTACGGTAGTATTCGGACTGGATTGTTCCTGAACCAAGAGGTCAATCCACGGTTATTAGTGGTAACAGTTACACTGGCCCTTCTATGACAGGATCAAGCCAAATGACATCTGGTCCGGCCACACGTGTCCATCATCTCAGTGATGGATGCTAGTGCTTACAACAGACATAGTAAGAGTTACCAAATGATGAATGAGACTTATCAACACTTTTCACTTTCCGGACAGAGCTCTAGAAATCATTCAATCATCTGGTCGTATGACGTATCAGCATCTGGGCTTCTGAATATGTGTTTGCTGGCCCCGCATTCCAGTCGGAGGAGCTCGCTGTAACTCATCCAAGATGGGGAAAACCCCAGCATGTGAAACAATTGAATGAACAATTGATTATGGCAAGTTATGATTATGTCCTTGTTGAAACCTGTCTAAAATCTGTATGAGGATCGGTTGTCTACTTGAAACTGGTGATCATCGCATTTCAACCACTGACTTCAAATTTCAAAACTTTAGGACATCCTCGTTCCTCGAGTACTCTTTTATTTTGTCCAATCACTTGCAAACAAATTGACTAGCTAGACGCATGCTATGACGCCAAGTCTTTTGTGCAGATTAGTGCAGAGGCACTCCCCTGTCAATCTGGATCGCAATGACGCGGCTTGGGAGATAGAGGAATACCCATAAGTATGACTAGGTACCTTACCATCGCATACAGGCATACTTCAGTGCGCCAACTGATGGCTGAGAAACGAACAGAACCAGACTGAAAGATGCAAGGGTAACCTAACTATCTGAGTCACGCAGCGTCCAGTTCGATCTCAAGATCCAGAACGCTCCGTAGATGGTGGAGCTTGCAATCTTCAAAAGAAGAGGCCAGAGTCTACGTAGCTACAGAAGCTGATCATCGCCGGAAACGGCCAACTGCATCACCAAATTCACGCCCACCCCAGGCAAAATACAACCTCCTCAACCAGGATCTCATCATTTCTATACAAATCCTTATCATGAAGTTCCCCTTGGAGGTTATCTCCTGCCGATCCAGGAGACCGACATCATCGTGTCATGGCAGGGGAGCAATTTTGGCCGGGGAGTACTCCATAGGTCCGCTTCCCATTGCGGTAATGCCGTATAGCACATCCACCTCAGAGAAGAGAGCATATAAGGTCGTGTATTTCTTCAATCCTTGTGCTTTGTGTGCTGTAAAGGACAAATTGGAGTGGTACAAGAGAAGACTTAATCCAATTAAGCTACACTTACAGCCAATACACACTAATACACGTACTCCCGAGCCTATCGTCGTCATCCTCTGATCCTTATCAGCCTATCCGCGCCAAAAAGTCGCACGCCACTAGTTTTTAACGGCTGTGCCTACTTACAGGGCTCCACCAATTTTTCTCCTAGTTCATATTATTTCCAAAGCTTCCTCTCTCCCTTTTTCCGTTATTTTTTCCCCCTCTTCTTTGATCTGCACATATTCTTCTGCTTAGTTGTACATTGTGTTCAACTCTTTGTGTGTGTTTGCTCATTGCTGTCACTGACCTCATTCATTCCTGGAAGTGACGAATACTTCGGGACTCTCTTCCACTCCCGTTGTCTCTGAGTATACCGATTCTGATTGCGCAAGCCCCCTCGCACAATCCTCACAATCCTTCATACTGTCCCATAATAGGTGCAGATATGTCTGGCCGCCGTCAGGCACTGAACTGAGTCGATCTCGGATCTTTCCTCTCCTCCCTATCCGAATACTCAGCTCCTGCATTGATCGTTACGGAGCCTGTGGAGAAGCTCGTGGCGACCCCCTGAAGGAGATCTAGATCTACCTTCACAACTCATCTATCCAATCGATTCCCGTCGCGCTACTGTGGTTTTATCTTTTTCCGCGCAACAATGCTCACCTTCAGGAAGTCGCTAATTGCGGCCGTCGTCCTGATTACATTTGTTGTCCTCCTTCGATCCACACATTCCTCACCGTCCGCCGAACCCGCTGTTCTCAACACGGAAGCGACTGTCTACGACGCCAGTCAAGCTGCAGATGAACCTACCACGAGTCAGGAACAGGATATACAACAGCAGCCGTTGAAGCCACCGCCCACTGCTTCCTTGCGCGAACGACTCCGTTACCAATTCCCCTACGATCTCGAAAGCAGATTCCCCGCATACATCTGGCAGACATGGAAGTACACACCAGCATCTATGTGGTTTGCCGAAGATCTTCGCCCCGCTGAAGCGAGTTGGACAGAATTACACCCCGGGTTTGTCCATGAAGTGATTCCGGACGACACTCAGCGACATCTTGTCAAGTACCTCTACGGCTCAGTCCCGGAGGTGTTCGAGGCATACGATTCGATGCCCTTGCCCGTCCTAAAGGCTGATTTCTTTCGGTACTTAATCCTGCTGGCCCGTGGAGGCATCTACAGTGACATCGATACCTACGCGCTCAAGCCCGCCGCCGACTGGCTGCCTGGGGAGCTGGATCTTGCCACGGTCGGTTTCGTGATCGGAATAGAGGCCGATCCCGACCGGCCTGATTGGCGCGACTGGTATTCGCGCCGGATCCAATTTTGTCAGTGGACCATCCAGGCTAAGCCCGGGCATCCGATCCTCCGCGATATTGTCGCATACATTACCGAGGAGGCGCTGCGAATGAAGAAAAAGGGGATCCTCAAGGAAGGGAAGATGGACAAGACTATCATGGAGTTCACTGGGCCCGCTGCCTGGACGGATGCGGTGTTCAGATATTTCAACAACCCGGAATACTTCAGCATCGAACCGGGGTCTACTCATAACGTCACATACGAGAATTTCACCAACCAACGGGACTTGAAAAAGGTCGGTGACGTCGTGGTCCTACCGATTACCAGTTTCAGTCCGGGTGTTAATCAGATGGGGGCGGGCGATCTGGATGACCCTATGGCGTTTGTCAAACACGACTTTAGTGGTACGTTTTCCTCGCATGTTGATGCGCTAGAGACAGGCTTAACTGACTTTATTCATCAGGATCATGGAAGACAGACCCGGCTCTCTAAACTTCGGCTGCGCGGCATCATCATGTCATCGGTTACAACCATCCTTGCCTGAGTCTCGTCAGGCCTGTGGACAAGAAGAACTCTCCGCCCCGGCTCCGGGCCCGAGCGAAGCACGTACGGAAGCCTCAACAAGTGCCCTGCGCGGGACCCGGTATCACTTCGGTACCTATCAAGACTCGAGTCCACTGAACATATCTGGGCAGTGCTTTCCATCAACAGCACATTAATGCGCCTCCTCTCAATGATGAAGACGTCATTCAAGTGCTCTCAATCCGGCACAGTTGTCGAATCTTACCGTTTGGATGTATGCATGTCAACCTTCGAAAGTCTCCTGGACGCAGTACAGATTCGAACCGGAGGCGTGGCATGTGAGTGTACAGCCAACTCCGACCCACAGCGCTGCCTATCACTTTTATCG